TCAAATAAAACCATTCTAAAAGCCTGTATCACAATAATTTAAAAAACGCCTAGGGGTATTTGCCCACTGTACCTCCATACCAAATTTCAGGACCTTGGGCCCTAAAATGAAGAAGCTGAATCCATTTAAAAAATGGCAGGAGAAGGAGAAGGAGAAGGAGAAGAAGAAACACCAGAAAAAGCAATATGGTTTCACCACACCACTTCGTGGTGTGGTGAACCCATAATTATCTGAAGTTGTAATATGCAAGTAATATGTCATATACATTGTACGTAAAGGCTGATGAAGTGGATCATTTTTCATCGTTCAAAAGCTTAACACAGTACAGCAGAGTAGTGTTCAAGAAATGGGATGTATTACCTGTGCCTGGCAAACCCGGCCTGGGGGTAGAGAGTGAGCTGACATCCTCACACATGACGCTGATATGGACTTGCTGCTGTTGGTCTGCAGTAAGAACAAAGCAAAGAAGACTCATGTGTAAAACGTACAATGTAGATTAGGCCACACCAATTTAATTCGTTGTTTCTCGGATTTTTTCGGAAAAAATATGAAGCGAAAGGGCAAAAAAAAAAAAACAGGCCAAGGCACCCCATGTTAGCTGGAAATGTTACAATATGAGCCATGATGTGAACATACCGGGCTGGTTTATAATAAAAACAATTATTATTTTTTGAACTTTCAATGAAACAAAATTGCATTGTTACATTGAAAAACTTTAAGAACTAGAACTTCAACCATTGGGGCCAAAATATGTCTTTCATAGAGCATTTTGCAGTTAATTTAGAACAAAATGGGCAAAGAGCAAAGATGTCTGTTGCCATGCCGGAAGGTGAATGGCAGATAACTATGAAGAGAGGAGACAAGTGGCTCTGATTTAATGTTTTGTTTCTTACTTTGATGCAGTGATATGTCATGCTGGCTGTGTATATGCGATGTTCCCACTGAATCAAAACCATTTGTACAATGATTGAGTCAAAATTTTAAATTGTAGGAACCTCGTTTTTTTCGGACTGCCTTTTTTTTTCGCCCGCTCGCATTAGATTTGGAGTCTGCGGAGGATGTAATCCATAAAATCTACTTGCTGTGGCCTTACCTGTCTCCCTCTGGCAGGAGGGGTAGAAGCCTGCAGCCCCCCATCAGTAGACAGACTGTCTGTCGATCCCTCACTGGCTTCAGAAGTATCACTGTGTGGGCCAGATGGCCAGATCCCGTCTGCCAACGATGTGCCACCTGCACCAATAATAATAATAATAAATGGTTTTTATTGTCCAAACAGTACCCGTGCAGTCGCAGCCTTTATACGGCTGAATGGACCTATACCATTATTACGTCACAGTTTGTGTACTGCAATGAATGCCGGTCAATCGACGTTTATATTGTACAGGGGTGTGTAGCGGTGTGTGTGTTTGTGTAGCGTTAGCCTAATATAAGGCTTTTAATACAGTACTACTTCCGTCTAATGTCACAACTAAATCACCCATGCGGCATGTAATGCTGTGTCAACACAACTACCGTTAGACGCAGCAAAAATCAGACATACCTGACTTTGAAAACTTTGAAATGATCTTAAAGTTTATTCTTTAACTGACCGTTCTTTAGAACAGGTAAACAAACTGTGACGTAATAATGGTATAGGTCCATTGATGCAGGGTATCACATGATTATCAATACAAATCACAACAACAAAATAATACACATGATAACACAATGTCATATTTGCTCCTGTGGAACTGTCGCAATGGTCTGTGCGGCTGCCATTCGGCGCCACAAGGTGACCTCAATACGACTTTCCCAAAACCCATTCACACCTGAGTGAAGTGAGGAAAGTCGTGTTAAGTGCCTTTCCCAAGGGCACAACGTCGGACGCATGTCCAGACATGTCCCAGGTACAACTTGGGATCGAACGGGCCGCCGGGCGGGTCTCCCCGCTTCATAGTCGAACGATCTACCACCCAACGCCACAGATGAAGACCAAACAATGTCAAATTGTCACCACTCAACACAACTGTACATACATATAAAATACAGGAACACAAATACAGCACTCCAAATCACCCGAGATACCAGCCAGTCCACGGGTCAGATCACCGGAGGGCCTGGTGGGTTGTTAAGTCCAACACAGAACAAGAGTTCCGAGACCTCTGCTGCAGTACCAAGGTCATCCACCAGGAGGCCCATATTTGACCTTGACCTTCGTCTTGCTAAGACTTACCAGCACACCAAATATCATCACAATCCATAAAGGCGTTATGAAGTTATGCTGACTACAAATGTGCGGAAACACAAACACACACACACACACACAGACAGACGCGCCAAAAACAATACCTCCATTTTTCACGTAGTAAAAATTACTACGGAACGCATAGTTAAGCCGGGTAGAAGACTAGAGTCCAAAAGGGATACTCCAAGTCTAGAGTCCAAAAGGGATATCAAAGTTGTATACAAGTTATGGCTTTATGCCTTACAGGTGAAGAAAGAAAGAAAGAAAGAAAGAAAATCATTGGATCAAAAGTGCCCTCTAGCAGTTAAATGACGAGCTGCAGCATGATTCATAGCACTAATACAAGAATGTTCTATAGTTATAATATTTTGTTATATACATGTATGTAGATATAATTGCCGGAGGGGGATTTGATCCACGGGATGGCTGGGACCAAGGGTGATGCAGGATACACAGTGTTGTGTTTTATTTATACCATACCCACCCGAGAAACCACATGCTTCAATGCAAAATGTGTCAAAATTTGGTGTCCTTGAACCAAAAATTTTAATACATCAATTCCAAAGTCTGCACTTCAAAGTATTCCATGGCACTTTTGGAAGCCCATGTGATAATCAAATTTTATAGCACCACAATGGGCTGTGTGCAAGACATGTAAATAAAGGCTTCCTTCCTTCCTTCCTTCATTCTCTGCACTTAGTTGAATGCTACATTTCTTGTACCATGGTAGGCATGGCAGATACATGTGTACATGTACATGTACATGCATTAAATTTTTGTACATTGTACAATTGCATTGACAATGGCTTGAATAGGATTCAGGAAAATTTTAATGGTCTACACGATTTTGAAATTAGTTAGAGTCTACTGTAGCTGATTGCAATTGTCTGGGACATGTGGGGTCGTGTGGCGCAGTCGGTAGCGCGTTCGGCTCACACCCAAGAGGTCACTGATCTTGTGCCCTTGGGAAAGGCACTTTACACGACTTTCCTCACTTCACTCCGGTGGAAATGAGTACCTAGCTTCGGTTAGGGACGTCCCTCGGATAGAATGTTACATGGAGGTCCCGTGTTTGGGACAGCCACACCACACGCACGTTAAAGAATCCACCGCACTTGTCGAAAAGTGTAGGGGACCTTCCCGGTGTGAGTGGTTCAAACCTTACAGACAGGTCTTACGCAGCTTGTACTTACGATGTACAAAACTGGTGTGTTACGCCTAAAGGCAGTTTACTGGTTATATGAAACAAACAAACAAACAAACATACCACTGAGACTCTGTGTTGTTACACTGCTGGATGTACTGGGGCTCTCTGGTTCTACACACAGTGTGTCAGCTGTCACCTTCTCCAGGGCCGGCAGGGAGCTGAGACAGCCCTGCCTCACCACATCCAGCTCCTGGGGCAGTGCTGGGGTGGCTACATGGACGGTACAACAACAGTCAGTTTTAGCTTCAAAATCTACAGCAACTGGCAATTTTTTTGTAACAATACAGTACTTGTACGTCACAGGACATACAGAACCGTTCGCGTTATGGTACATGTATTGACAACTTTCACACTTCCCAAGACGCACCGTCAGGGGTATCGCAAAATGGACCGGGTGTGATGTTACGACAATTCTTCCCAGCGCGCAAAACTAAGTCGTAATGTTCTCCACACGATTCAAATAGGTAAAGTGATGTTTATTCATGAATTCTAATCGCCCAGGAAATTGCAATGTTCAGTATTAAAGTCTAGGAATTAGTAGGAAAGGAAAATGTTGCCTGATTTGTAGTAAAACAGTTGAATCAGTCCACACATGGTTTGTTTTTCTGTTTTTTTTCCTGCTCCGCGAGCTAGATTACGTTAACTGTAGCTGACTTGCTTATGTTTTTTTTTATCGCGCTGAAACAGATCAAGAAACTACACGGACATAGCCATAAAGCATCACTTAAGCTGGCCTACATACTAAAAATCATGACAATCTGTCAGCCAGTCCTTTAGTTATTCACCCTCAAAGATTTTTAAACAAACTGTCCTGCAATTCCAGAACAAGATGCTAGAAGGCCCAAACTCATCACTTCTTCCCTAGCCTAAGAGCTCAAAATCTAATCATTTCTAGGTCTAATCAAGGCCTTTGACTTTATTTGGATCCACATTTAGCGAGGCATTTCAAGACCTAAAGCCACACCAATTTCATTTCTTGGTTAACGGATTTGCCCGCTTCATTTTTTTCTGATTTACAAAAAAAAAAAAAATTTCTGCAAAATGCTCATATTTTGCCCTAAACAGTTGTCCTTTTCTTCCTAGTTGTTACAGTTATTCCATATTTCAATGCAGTAGTATCATTAAAAGTTCAAAATTCATTGTTTAAATTTTGTACCAGCCTGGTGTGTTGACTTCATGGCTCTTATCGTACCATTTTGGGCCATAATAGGATGCCTAAGGCCTGTTTTTATTTTTATTTTTTTTCGCCCGCCCGCTCCATTATTTTTCTAGAAAAATCTGTTAACCTAGAAATTAAATTGGTGTGGCCTAACCATCTACTAACTTTCATGACAATGCATTTAAAGCTTCTCAAGTTACATTACAAGTTACTCCCGGTATGCTGTTCACAAACAGACACTGACAAAACACTACTGAAAACATAACCTTCTTGGCAATATATAATAAGGTAATTACTCTTACCTCTCAAACAAAGGAAGGTGATAAAGTCTTCAGTCTTGACCTTGACGTTGGACAGTAAAGATGTTGTCTTGGCTTTCTTGACAGGAGTGGTGTCAGGACTGCTGGGACAGGACTGGGCAAACTTGCGCTGGGCTGACACTTTCATTCTGTGGTAAAACAAGAAAATAGGCAGCATTCAATGTCTAATGATGATACATGTACATGTAGGTTAACAACATTATAGACAGTATATACTTGCCAAACAGTTGTCTAATGCAGCATTAATGCGAGAAATACACCATACCCGGGCCGCGATAACGTTCGATAACGGGTTCCGGACCGGGCCGTACCGTAAAGTACAGTCCGGAACCCGTTATCGAACGCTTCCATGGCTTCCATAAAATGATTTGAACGCGTTTCGCCCTAACCGCATGTGCCCCTTTCAAAAATTCGAATACAGAATCCAGACGTTGGAATTGATGTTGTTGCAGTTTAGGGTTCAGTGGCACCAACTTTTGGCTCATCTTGCATTGAAAGGCGTGTTTTTTGGGTGGGTATGACATAAATAAAATACAACACGGTGTATTCCGCATCACCCTCGGTCCCGGCCCTCCTGCGAGTCGGATCGCCCTCCGGCGCGCGGTCGGGCCGATACCTCTGTAATTTCATGGCAATTATACATGTATGATCCGTTTGCCAACTGTTGCAGTATTTTATTATGTAATATTTGTAAAAATTTGCGGAACGCTTGTTGACAGTAAACAAATTACTGTCAGTAATGTCAGGTAATGCCCCCAACCCCTCAGTTAATTTTTGCGGTTTGCGGTATACCCTTCCCAACTGGATTATCTAAGCCTCTCAGCTGCCGTCTTGCAGAAATGAAAACTGGTACTAGTATTTCAGTGAAACCATACAAAGATACACATCATGTTTACATGTACATGTATGGTACTGTAAATACTTTTTTCTTGGAGAAGATTCATCCTCCTCTCTATCAGATGCTGACCCCACTGAGTTCTCATCTGGACTACCAGCACATGACGTCCTGGTCATGCTGGACAGGCTTTTGTTGTTCTGTCCAAAACAGCTGGTCTGGTACCCCAAGTCTTCCTCCCTCTCATCACTAGTGCCTGCCAGGTCCACTTTTGTCTCCCGCAGGGAAGCATACAAGGCCCTTTTTAAGTCCCTCTCTTCACGCCACAGTATTCCTCCATTATAATCCTGTTTGTAGACAAAGACAAATGTTGTGTAGTTAAAAAAAAATTCTATTCTTTAAAGGATGTGAATGGTCTAAGCAAACATCTATATCAAACTTTGCGTAACAGTGTTTTTTTTTTGAGACCATCTTAAAAACTTACCAAACTTTTCTGCACCACGTTTCTCCTGGGTCTGTCCCCCATGATGACAGGATACCAGCGGCAGACAGCACCAGTCCTGCAGCTGAGGAGGGGAAAATAAAACATGGATTCAAAAAGTCACGAACGTGGCTATTGACCTCCCAGAGTGGATAGAAAAATTTTTTGTCCCTTAGGCCACACCAATTTAATTTGTTCGTTCTTGGATTCCCTTTTTATCTGATTCGCAAAAAAAAAAAGATTCTGGTTCTGAATCAACTTAAAAATGCTTGTATCTTGCCCCCAACATTTCAGGAAAGACCTTTTCTTCCTTTTTGTTACAGTTTTTCTATCTAGCAATGCAGTGGTTCAAAGTTCATTATTAAAATACTAACCCAGCCTTTTGTGTTGACTTCATGGCTCCTATTGTCGCATTTGGGGCTATAATAGGATGCCTAGACCTGTTTTTATTTTTTTCATTTTTTCGCCCTGTCGCTTCATATTTTTTATGGAAAAATCCGAGAACCAACAAATTAAATCGGTGTGGCCTTATATCCACCCCTGGAATGAATACAAGAATCTTTTGACCCTTATTGACATTCCCGGTGTGGATATGTGTATATATTGTGTGTTTATTGATTTCTACTGTCTCAGACTGATTCGTGTGAATTCCTGAGCCTCTCGAGTGCGCCTTCCCATAATGTATGTAGCCATACTTTGCCACTCTGTAGACATGGGAACTTGGAAACTTTTCACCATCTCTCCGGCAACTTACGGTTTTCAGTTTCAACCGTTTTGCGTGTCACCTTAGGCTACACCAATTTAATTTCTTGGTTAACAGATTTTTCTAGAAAAATAATGGAGCGGGCGGGCAAAAAAAAGAAAATAAAAACATGCCTAGGCATCCTATTATGGCCCAAAATGGTACGATAGGAGCCATAAAGTCAACACACCAGGCTGGTTCAAAATTTTAACAATGAATTTTGAACTTTTAATGATACCACTGCATTGAAAGATGGAATAACTGTAACAAATAGGAAGAAAAGGACTGTTTTCCACTGTTCAGGGCAAAATATGAGCATTTTGCAGTTGATTCTGAATTTTTTTTGGCAAATCAGAAAAAAATGGAGCGGGCGAATCCGTTAACCAAGAAATTAAATTGGTGTGGCCTTACTGAGCTCAACGTGGGTGTTTTTCTGAAACTCCTCCAGCGCTGCCATGAATCCTGTCCATGTCAAAATTCCCCCCAAGCTTCAGGTGTGACGACGCGGCAGCCATGTTGGCTATGGAGTTCTGATTGGCTGACATTGTCGCAGGTCAAACCCGTGGGTTTTGGAACTTCGGCAGGCGATTACCTAGTTGTTTTATGATTGTCAGCCTTTTCGACATCCACTAAGTGAAACTTGAAGCCCTGAGCACACACCAAACACACACCATAGTTCTCACCAGGCTGTTTGAGTGTACGGACCCCCTACGCTGTGACTTGGACCCCTACGCTGTGATTTGGACCCTCTACGCTGTGATTTAGCCCCCTATAGCTACACTGTTTCAACCAGTGTAGGGGTATTTTTTTTGGGGGGGGGGCAGCAGCTTCATAAATCTTTCAAAAAATGAAAATATAACTTAAGAATGAAGCTATAATGAGGTCTCAGGGGGTTATGTGTTACAAAATTTTTTGGGAGAATGTCAGACCCCCTGCTGCTGTCATATTTTTGAGATCTCAATGCGCAACTTGCGGCGCAGAAAGTTGTCCTTCTGTACCTGACCCCTACGTATACGCTATGACAAAATCCTGGTGAGAACCCTGCACACCAAAACACAAGGATACCGAAGTAACAGGTTCCTCACTGGCCACCTATAGCCACCTAGCAGGAAACCTAGCCACCTAGCAGGAAAAGTGGTGTCGGCACTCGGGCCTTGTACACAGGAAAGCTCCGCACAGGAATTCTAGTGCTGAACGGCTTTGAATCTCCGTCACGACTGGAAATCTAGAGCTGAATCTTATTTTCCAGTGCTAAACTCCACTCAGCACTCGCCAGTGCTCGGATGCCGTTCAGCACTGGAAAAGTACCTAAGTAACGGGTTCTTCACTGGTTTATTCCAAATTGCTTGGTGACTCTTCAGTGATGGAAACCGAGTTCTCAAATCATTTCGGCATTGAACTTCACGTCGACATATCAAGGTATCAAGGACATACAGCACAGTTGTGTAGTCCTAATACTGTATAATGAGCAAGGTCGAGTGAAAAGGTGAGGAAACAAGCCGTTCAAACATGTCCTGCCTATCAGCTTGTTGTCCTCAGGTCATTTTTTTGCAAATGGAACGTGGAAGAAACAGCGCCTGCGCAGAACCCCGATTTTTCAGGTTTTCTGTTGGATTTTTGGTCAACGTTGCATCAGAATTTTGCCTGTTGCAGATGATATTTTTTCCGGCATAACATTTCGAAACTACAGACGGAGTGTTGATCTTACATGCGCGAATACGACCTTATAGTTATATGGGACGTTCTGCCAAAGTGCTATGCACAATAATATATTACGGATGTCGCGCAGGTGCAGTACGTTTTGCCTACAAGCTAGTGGAAGGTACTCTCTAGCTCTGTTTCCATTGCTGATTCGGAGTTTCCAGTTCTGAAGCCGCCGACACTGGACACCAAGTGTTGACGTACCTTCGGCACTGGAGATCTAGGACGGAAGTCCCCTTACCTTTGTATACCGAGTGCTGAGAAAGGAACCCGTTACTTCGGTACTTTTGCCACCAAAACCCAAGTTTTGAGCCTGCCACGGAGGTTAGTATCCCGGAGTGGATATAAAAAATTTTTGTCCCTTATATCCACACCGGGAGTGTCAAAATTATAGCTGCCATGCCATGGCAAAAAGTTAATAAATTCTAATCTGCAGTTCCACTTCAGCAACGTGAAACATGCACCTCTGGCCTGACTGGTCTCTCACTCTGGGATAGATAATCAACAAACAGAACATTAACAGAACGTGAGGAGAGAGTACTACATAGTAAGTTCATGTGAAGTCAGTGAAGGCGGTAAATAATACATGTGGTTTACCCCGAAGCCGGTTTCAAGTGGCTCCATCTAAACGCTCCAAATCACACTGAAAGCGCCTCGATCCCAAGCCACTTCTAGAGGTGGTTTCGAATCGGTTTTCCCGCATCGCGATTTGTGTCTGAACGCAATGTGATTTCAATGTAACTTCGCCTGGTCATGGATTACGGGGTGATATTTCTTTATTTATATGCAATACCAACTTTTACGTGGCAGCAACTTAAAGAGCAGTAATGGTCAAATAATGTGTCCGTTCTAGGACGAGCTTCACCGCCTCTGGCGGGACCACGTCGGCATTCGGCCGAGATACGCTGGGAGGGGGGCATCAGCAAGCAGGTCATTGACCAATTTTACAATAAATGTAGCTCAGGCGAATTGTGATCGGGCACGGTTTGAAAGGAATGTGTGGCACGTGGACGAGATGTGAGGAATGCGAGTTACCCGAATCGTGGTTTGGATGACTTCACATGAACAAGGCTTAAGACCAGGGGTACTAGTTCCATCACACGCGCACGGTTAAAAAACGAGTATTATTTTACCATAGCAAGCAAAAAACTGGCCTCCATAGCATGCAAAAACTGAGCGTTTGGGGGGTCTTCAGGGTCTTTTATGTGCTATTTTCTGATTGCATATAGACAACATAGCCGGCCTGGTTGAACTTGGCTGATAAGAAAACAGCCGAAGACCATGGCCACCAAACCCCCAGTTCAAAAAGCCTGCTACGGAGGCTAAGCAAGTCCATAGTTTGATGTAACGCTACATGATGAAATTTGCGCTCACACGAATAAAACCCTGCCCCAAACATGTTCCTCTTATAAGCTAACTTATATAATTGGACCTTACCTGGAATTCGTTTCCTAGCTATGAAACAGGACGGGAGGTTGTATGAAAATATCGTTCAGAGATTTGAGGGGGTGGGGGGCTTCCTTGTATCTTCGGCTCTCACAGCGCCGGTAGCGCCAATGCAAAGACCCGCAAGGCGTCAGAAGACACACATTTTCTTTAGTCAGGAAGTCTCCAAATCACAGATGCTTCCATATTGCCTGGAAACCAGTTAGAGTTGATTTAATCAATCTGCTGTTTAAATTCATCTCAACAACAACACGACAAAGCCGCCATCTTGGCTCCATGTGAACAGCACACGGCCACTGCGCATGCTCAGATGTACGAGGAAACTTGCTCTTTGTCCAGTCAGGTGACCACGTGAGACCGTGTTTTGGAGTTTCGGCAGGGAGTTTCGGGGTCTTGTTTGTGTATTTGTGTGTATGTGTGAGTGTGTTTGTGCGTGTGTATGTCTGTGTGTCTGTCAGTGTGTGTCTGTCACAGTCTGTATGTGTGTGCGTGTGTGTGTGTGTGTGTGTATGTGTGTGTAACGTTATGTGTATGTCCATTCTATATGTATCTGTGTGTGTGTCTGTCAGGGACTGTACGATATGCCCGGTGGGGGGGGGGGTAGGGCTGGCGGAAGGCCATTGAAATACCGAAAAAGTTTTGTAAAATATGGCGTCGCGTACGCGTAGTAACCGAATTACAAGAATTATAACGTTAATATATACGCCGTAAATTCCCGAATAACAGCCTTCAACCAGCCTTGAACAACCGTTACAGGCTTGAATCTCCAGGACACCCGGCCTGCAGGGAAGAGGAGTCGTCTGGCTCTACAAAAAAAGCAAACCTTGACGCTCTGTGCAACGACCTTAGCCAAGCCCCCTGGGACACTAACTTCATCTTCGACTCGATGGACGATATTTGGAACACCATGTTTATGAACATATGCCGACAACACATTCCACACAAACTACTCCCTGTCCACAGACCATCCAAACCCTGGATTTATGGAAACAAAGAGCTCAAAGCAACCATCCGAAGGAAACACCGGCTCCACTCCATAGCCAAAAGTAACAAGAATTGTGTTAAAAGAACACCTCGGCGACGTCAAAATTATAAGCCCCATGAAGTCTGTAGCAAGGTAAAACCTCATGTAGTATATGCCGCCAATGTAAAGCTTCCATATCTTTAGATATGACTACATTCAGAGTCAGACCCCCGCGTGGGGATATATGATGAATTTTATTGCTCAACAATCGTACGAGGTACAATTTATGGCAGTAATACAACTACAAAACTTTACTTAGGCCACACCAATTTAATTTGTTGGTTCTCGGATTCGCCTCTTCATTTTTTTCTGATTTGCAAAAAAAAAAAAGATTCTGGTTCTGAATCAACTCAAAAATGCTCATATTTGGCCCCCAACAGTTGAGGAAATTCCTTTTCTTCCTAGTTGTTACAGTTTTTTCCATCTATCAATGCAGTGGTTTGATTAAAAGTTCAAAATTT